TCGGTCACTGCCCCCTCCCCCCCCTTCCGGTCTCTTCACTCTCCCTCCCCTCACTTCCTTACTCTCCTGTCTTCCTCTCCACTGAGATACAGTAGGGCTTCTCTAAAGGGGTGGCGGGCTGGTGGCCTAGAGACCTGCAGATGACGGGCAGTGCCAGATAGGCCCTCAAGGTGACTCTTGGGCCATTGCCGCCCCTCCCCTGCATCCCTGAGAGCCTGGCTTGGCCAGCTGTCAGACCTTAGAGGGGCTGGAGCATGCTGCAGCCAGAGGGCAGGATTCTGACCGCCAGGTCCCCACCCCTGCAGACCGGAGTCCTGAGGCAGCGGGAGAGGAATTCAGCCCTTTTCTGCTGTCCATCTCCAGCCAGGTGGCCCCAGGACAAGGCGATGGGGAGAGAGGAAGCAGAGAGACCTAGGCAGAGGGACCTGTGCAGCAACTTTTTTTTTTTTTCCCGGCTAGGGAAGGGGACAGGCAGCAAGTCGGGGATTCCGATTTACATAAATAACCGGACTCAGGCCAGAACCTGAGCATATGTAGATGAAGCGCCTTGTCAGGCCCAGCGCAGGAAGGAGAAATGATTTCAACCTGTACTGCAGTGGTTACCATAGCAACCAATTATTCAGTGCTAAATTATAACTGTTTATAACAGTCGTGAATGGGAAGGCTCATATTTCATTCTTTCTTTTTCCCTCTCAGTCTTGAAGGACCCCAAATCGAGGATGACCAACTCTCTGAGCCTTTCCTTTTGAGTTTAAATGCCTCCTTTCTCGAGACAGAGCGCTAGGCATGGAGGGAAGGCAGTGGGAAGGGACGGAGGCCTGAGAAACATCTGCAGAGCTGGGGAGGGGGAAGGGCAGGCAGGGGCTGCCCGTGCGGGGTCCTCGGGGTCTGCACTGCTGGGTCCTCGGGGTCTGCACTGCTGGCGTGTCTGTCATCTGTGCCTGGGGCTCAGGGCAGAGACCTCTCCTGCCTGTCCCCAGCTGCCTGCACACTGAGCCTGGGTGTCGTGGTTAAGGCAGCTTTGCAGAAGGATTTTGTTGTAGACTCCAAGCCCACTGAGATTCCTTTGCCACCAGGCACGTTCCCCATAGTCACACTCGAGTCTGCCCCAGTCCCAAGATGGCATCAGGGTCAAAGCCCTGACCGGTGTCCTGACATCCAGGGCCCATGGTGTATCTCTGGGGCCGAGGCTTTCCTAGGGCATTACTGCTCCGTGCCTGCGTCTTCTCCCCTGAGGCCGGCTTGGCCCGCACCCCGCTCTGTACGTTTCAAGATACTTAGCTGCTCCTGGTTCTCGGTCAGGTTCTCGGTCATTGCTCCCTTCATCGCCACTGGCCGAGGCTGCATCCCCTCCCCCCACACGTCACGCTGATGGGTCGCTCCTCTTCGAGCTGTCTTCAGAACAGCTGTCTGCCCTTCCCCTTGCCCTTTCTCTGCCAGGAAAGATTTTTGGGGAAAAAAAGGAGGCCTGGGTGTAGAAGTGTCCAAACAGCTGGATGCAGAGGTGCTGTGGATACCGATGTCGCATCAGCGGGAAACCAGTCTCCACAGACCTGTCCTGCACCCCCACATTCCACCCACCCCCTGGTGTGGCAAGAGGGCTTAGATGAGATTGGGGTACAGCTGGGGGTGGGCCCAGGTGGTGTGAGCTTCATTTGGTGGGGGGAGAAGGTAGGGTGCGGAGAGGCTCAGGGAACAGGTGGGGAGCCAGGGGAGCTGGGGAGTTAGCCTTCTCTGGGACTGGGCTCTCCCCATGACAGCCAAGGGAGCAGTCAGTCAGTCTCCCCTTTCCCTGTAATGAGGGGCCCTGCCAAAGCTCTAGCTCGTTCTTCGAGGACAGTCTTTGCCCTACTGCCGTCCCATGCCACCCTGGAGTGGACGCTGCACCAGGCATCCTGGCAGTGCCTGGCTTGGGGCCTCCTGCCAGGCCTGCTCCCCCTGCCCTGTGCACACACAGAAATCTGCTGGAGCCGCCGTCCCCTCCTCCCTGTCCTTCCCTCCCTCCAGCTCCCTCTGCGCCCTGCGCTGGAGCTGGTCACTCCACGCCTCTCCTTGGACCTGGTCACTCCACGCCTCTCCTGCACTTGGGAAGTGGCAGCGTTGTCTCCTATCAGACGCTCGGGTCCACTCCCCCTCAGGGGTGGCCTCAGCAGCCCCCTCTGTCAGCATCAGATTGCTGTGTGCACCGGAGCTGTCGCCCGGTCTGTGCAGTCGGCTCTAGTTCAGTCCCGCTTTGTGGAAACGGGGGCATAAGGCTGGTTGTGCCCTTCAGTTTGTCATCCAGGCTCCATCTTGGGCTTCCAAACAGGGTTGGGGTCAGCGCTGTGGGCACATGGGATGCTCCTGCTTCAGAGTGCTTAAGGCATTCTCTTATGATTTCCTGTTACTCTTACCGCCCTTGGCGGTGTCCCCACTTAACAGATGAGGAAGCTGAGTGGCTGCTGCAGTGGCTTGCCTAGTTCCCAGGCTAGTGAGGGTCTGCTCCAAGGCGCTGTCCTGCAGCCTCCCCACGGAAGCCCAGGACCCGCCATGGGCCCTCCTGGTCTGGTTTATGGGCAGCTGAGGGCAAGCCCTGCACCCCAGCCTCTGTTGGTCCTGCAGCCTCTGTCCGTGGTGCTGAATTTTGTGGCCCTTCCTTCCATCCTCATCTCTCAGGTCCCTCGAAAGGTGGCCTCTTCAAGCTGGCCTAACTCTGTAACCTCAAGGGAAATGGCACCCTCTCTGACCCCTGCTTCTCCAAAGGACTGAGGCAGAGCTGGGATCAGTGGCCACCAGCCCTAGGAGCAGAAATGCCTGCCTGCAAGTCTGTCCTGCTCTGGGCAGGCTCTGGCAGCAGCCAGCATCTGCACTGCCCCTGGGGCCCAGCATGGCCGTCAGTATTCCGGGAAACACCGGGGCTCCAGAAAGGCTTGGAGGCCCTGCTGCGGGCCCACTGCCAGCCAGCACACGGACTCTGCTGCTGAACGGCTGTGAAAGGCTTGCGTCAGGGCACGGGCAGCTGGGAGCTGGGAGCTGGCAGCAGGGAGCGAGCGAGCGAGCTGAGCATCCAGGAGAGTCGGGAAGTTCTGGGAGCCTGTGGGTGGGTCCTTTTCCAGCCGTATCCCAGGGAGAGCCCCCTCCTGGGACAAGACTTTCCATACCTTACAGTGTGGCCGCAAAGGCCACAGAATAGGCTGAGGACCTCCCAAGGGTCTCCAGATGACCCCATTGTCTTCCATGCCCTCCTCCTTCCCCCCTCCCTCCTCCTCCTCCTCCCTTCTCCCCCTGCTCCCTCCCCTTGCCCCTCCCTTCTTTCCTCCCTCCCTCCCCTTCCCTCCTCCTTCCCCCCTCCCTCCTTCTCCTTTCTCCTCCCTTCCTTCGCCCCTTCCTTCCCTCCCTTTCCTCCTCCCTCTCTCCCCACTTCCTCTCATGCCTCTCTCCCCCATTGCTGTTTCTGCGCTCATTTTTCATCTTTCCAGCTCTCTTTCCATCTCTTCCATGCCCCTTTTTGCTCACCTTGAAAACAGTAAACAGCCAGCAGAGAAATGACAAGCCTGTGCTGGTAACTGGAGCATCAGCGCCCCCCGCCCCACACCCAGCCAGGAGGGGCTTGGGAGGGCTTTGCCAGCCCACTTGTCTCTAGAAAGGCTGAGAGTAAACAGCTTTTTCCGAGGGGCAGTGCCTTCTGGCAGGGATGCTCTGGCTATAAACGCCCTTATCTCCATATAAATGGACCATTTTGTGCCTGTATAGGAGGGGAAACTAAATCAAGGAAGCCAAGCTTAGAGCTGCTTAAATTGCCTTGTCTTATATTGAGACACAGCAGCCAGGGTGCAGGCGAGGGGAGGGTGGGCTCCGGAGAGCCCACAGGCAGTTAATGCTGGGCTGTGCATTCTACGTTAATTACAGGTCGCACATGACACCCGCAGTTCCAACGCAGGGCGCACACATAGCAGAGGGGTGAGGTGCTGGGAGCCTGGTGGGAGCCAGCGGTTCCGTGGCTTTTTCTTGCGCACTTTGCTTTTGGTTCTGGGTATCACGTCTCCTGCTTCAAGCTCCTGGGTCCAAATGCCATCATGCAACACTCGTCAAAATCCCAAAGTCCATAGAAACCTGATTCTGATTGGAGCAGAACCTGAGCCTCGCCCCAGGGTGGTTCAAACAGGCTGCTCTGAGCTGGCCTGGTAGGGAAGCCTGCCTTCACAAGAGGCCTCACCTGCACACGCCTCGGCCACTGCGGCCCAGTCATCGGGGAGGGACTTTGACCAGGCTGGCTTGGCGCAGCCCCTCTGGCTGGGCTTGGGTGCTAAGCCGTGAGCCCCAGGACGCTGAGTGATCCAGAAGGCATGGCCGACTGTGCTTGGAGGTGGCCCGCGACTCCAGGTTTTCTTTGGGTCCCCGCTGCCCTCACTGTCCCCCTTTCTCTTCCAGGGGAGCCATGATGAGCTGTCAGAAAACGAAGAGGATCTGGAAGAGAAGTCGGAGAGCGAGGGCAGCGACTACTCCCCTAACAAAAAGAAGAAGAAGAAACTCAAGGACAAGAAGGAAAAAAGAGCCAAGCGGAAAAAGAAGGGTGACAATGATGAGGATGACAATGACGACGCATGCCTAAAGGTGACCACCGGGCCCGGCTGGAGGGGCCGGGGCTCCGGCGGGGCACGCCTGCCTGCACGGCCAGGCCCGCTGTCGCTGCTCCGCCTTCCTGCCTGGGAGCCCCCGAGCGAAAGGGCCAGGCCGTCCTTCCCACCGGTGGCAGCTGGGGGCCGATGGGTCTGTGGGTGTGAGTGTGTGTGCGTGTGTGCACACGTGGAGGCCAGACACACGTTTGTGAGAAATCCTGTAGCCACAAATCTTGGGGACACGTTTGAAACAGTGACGGACAACGTTTAGGAGTTCAGGGCGGAAGTCGTGCAGCCTCTTTGGTGGAGCGTCTGTGGTCTCGCCACCCCACGGAGTGCGAAGCTCATTTTGAAAAGATTGGTGGTCTGAGCTTCAGTTTCCTGTCAGGAGCCTCTTGCTTGGAGCAGTTTGGGAAAATACACCAGCAAATGGAGCCTTTGCCAGTGAGAAGCTGCTGGACAGCTCCTCATAGAGCAGAAGGGGGACCTTGTCACTGAGCCCAGGTTCTGAACTTCTGCCCACGTGAGCACAGTCAGGAAAGCGCTAGGAAGGGTCAGGAGCTCCGTGGGGCAAAGCGTCTTCTCCACGAATATGGGGAGTGATGTGAATGAGCCTCCCAGCTGTGCTGTGGGGGTTCCTCGGGTAGGGTCTGCAGACGGCCCCGGGCCCAGCTCTGGGGCAGGGGACCGTGGATGGCGCGTCATCTGGGACCACCCTGCTCCCTTGGTTTGCCACCAGGGCACCCAGGCTCAGTTCGGGCCAGCCTGGGTTTAAAGATAAGTGCTCCGTGAAGATTGTGCAGAGGCTGGGGCAGAAATGGTGACTGGCAGCGACAGCCGTTAGGAAGCCCCGGTGGTGGTGTCCCCGCACCCAGAGCGATGTCACTAGTCGCCAGTTGTGTTGTGAGCCATCTGTGACTGATAACGGCTGAGGGGCTGACAGCTTTGAGGGATGAACTTAGGGGAGCGATTCAGCGTATCCTGTACCAATGTCATCCGCTCACTCACATGCTGCTCTGCTTCCTGCTGGGACCGAAGGCCCCATGTGCTTCCGGGAATGGCTGTGTGTCGTGGGGGCAGGTCGGCCGCGGGAGGGGATCCCACATGGGAGCAACTCTGAAGTGTCACAGTATGTGAGGCCCTGGAGCTCTGGGCAGGAAGGACAGTGGCGGAAGCGGCAGCTCGGGCCTCCTTGGCCATCCCTGCCCATCCAGCAGGAGGGAAAGCAGACCTGTGTCTCAGTTGTCTACATGGACACCTGGCGGGCCTCTGGACGGGCTTAAGTCACATGCCCACCTGGACCTGGGACTGGCCTGGAGTGGCGCGTGCTGATTGGCTGAGTGGATCAGTGGGTGGGGCTGGGGCTCTCCCTTCTGTGAGGCAGGTGCTGTTATCCCTCTTTCATAGATGGGGAGACTGAGGCATAGACAGCTGGACTAGCTTGTCCCCCACCTGTCACTGCCTGTGTGTGGCCGGGATTAGAACCAGCATCTGTCTGACTCCAGAGTCCATGCTCACCGTCAGCACCCCCACGCCGCCCCCCCAC